CAGCGCCAGCGTCAGCAGCAGCGCCTCCAGCGGCAGAGCCCCTAGCTCTAGCAGCGCGACCCTGATGGCGAGCGTACCACTCGTGCAGCTGCTGTGGGGAGAGAGGCGCACGCGGACGAAGGCGGCCACTCCAAGGAGACCGCGGACACGCAGGCTCAGTACACTTAGGCGCCGCACCCCCAGACTCAGCACCCCCAGGCTCCTCACGCGCAGGCTCAGCACCCCCAGACTCAGTACCCGTAGGCTCAGCACCCCTAGGCTCCGCACGCTCAGGCTCAGCACCCCCAGACGCAGCACCCCCAGGCTCAGCACCCCCAGACGCAGCACCCCCAGGCTCCTCACGCCCAGGCTCCGCACCGCCAGACCCAGCACCCCTAGGCTCAGCACCTCGAGCAGGACCTGAGTCATCAGTGACCTCAACAGGCTCACGCACAGGAGGGTCTACCTGAGAAACACCTGAAGGAGCAGGACCTGGCGCGGGGAGGGGGTCTACCTGGGGAGGACCTGGAGCGAGAAAGAGCGGAGGGGGGGGGCGAGCGGCAGTGCGGTAGGGAAAGAGACGGTAGAAGGGGACCGACTCGTCAAAGGTGACGTCCTGAGACGCGAAGACACGGCGCGAGGTGGGGTCGTAAAACTGCCAGCCAGGCGCGTCAGGAGGAAAACCAAGGAAGACGCAGGGAATGGCGCGAGCGGAGAGCTTGTCCGCGGTGGTATCGCGGACAAAGGCACGAGCACCCCAGACCCGGAAGCGCGACGCATCGCCAACCTCCCCCGTCCACAGCAGTGTGGGCGAAGTCTCCGGCAAGGAGACACGGGGCCAGAGGTTGAGCTGATGCGCGGTGTACCGGACCGCAAACAGCCACAGAAAATGGGGGGCAGCCGCATGGATCATGGAGGTACGAGCGACCTCCATGACTAAGCCAATGCGGCGCTTAGCAACCCCATTCTGCTACGGAGAGGCCGGAAGCGTGAACGACTGGCGGATGCCGTGCTCCTCACAGAAAGCTCGCAAGAGGTCGGAGAAGGACTCACCACCTCTGTCAGAGTGCAGACGCAGGACAGGAAAGTCCGACTGGAACCGCTCGCGGAGCTAGAGACGAACAGCGCGGATCCAGGGGATCAGAACATCAGGGACCTGACCCTTGCTGCGCAAGGGGAAGACCGTGGTGTAACGCGTGTAGTCGTCGACGACCAGCAAGAAGTACCACTCGCGACCCTGCCCCTGGACACGGGCTGGGCCCCACACGTCCAGGTGGAGAGTCTGCAGAGGAGCCTCTGTGGGAGGGAACGAGGAGGAGTGAGGAGCGGCGCGCTGCCGCCCCTCGACGCAAGGAATGCAGGGCGGGGCAGGCGAGGGAGGGAGGGCGGGCAGAGACCTGGGAAGACCAGAGACCAGGAGGCGAGAGTGCATGCCACGAAGGCGGGGTAGAGAGGGGTGACCAAGGCGGTGGTGCCACAGGAGAGTGTCGTGCGACAGGCGGCGACACTCACACTGGGTAGCTACCTGGGCAGACGCGTACAGCTGAGGAGACACAGGGGTGTAGCGCGACACAGTGGTGAGGGTGTACAGACTGGACCCTGGCGCACGTGTGAACGTGGCCAGGTGGCGGCCAGTCCTAGAGCACGTACAGATCACCACACGCTGTCCTCCAGGAGTAAAGGTGTCAACCCAATGATCCTGAAGGACGGCGTTGCTCACCAGGTTCGTAGAGAACGAGGGGATGTGGAGACCTGACAGCTCACCGGACGGGACCGCCGGACACGGGAGCACAGTACTGGACCGTGCAAGCACTGGGCCCCCAGAGGGGTCAGCCAGTGAGACAGGGACAGGTGCAGGGAGGGGAGTGACTGTGGTGCTGTCGCGAAAGAAACAGCGGGAAGCACCTGAGTCAAGTGTGAAAGTGTGCAAGGCCTCAGCAGGCGCAGTACCAGAGAGAGCAGACTCACGAGCACCTAGGGCTGCAGTCTCTATACCTGGGTCAGGCGGAACGCACAAGTAGCAGTCACCCTCAGCACTAACAGTCAATGCATACATAGCAGCAAGAATCGCATCATAGTCAAGATCAAAGATAGGAACATCACGCCTAAGCAGGTCTGCCCAGTTGGGCAACTCAGTAGCATCAGGAAACTTGGCGCGCCAGGCGTCGCTAAGCCTAACAAAACAGCGGTACTCAGTGTGAAGGTCGTTGCATGTGCGACCTGCGCGGGGACCGGCGCGAATGAAATAGGTGCAGCGACCAGGACCCCCAGACCCCCCACGCTGAGCATACCAGTCATGAAGCTGCTGAGACGTGGGGGTCTCCCGCTGACGCTGCTGCTGCTGCTGTGGCTGCTGCTGCTGCTGCTGCTGCTGGCCGCCACAGGAGCTCCCCTTCGGGCCGGCCGCACCCAAGCCCCCACCTCCACCACCACTACCGCTGCCTCCTCCTCCACTACCGCTGCTGCCTCCTCCACCGCTTCCAGTCCCACCGCCGCCCAATCCACCGCCTCCATCCCCACGACCACCCCCACCACCTCCACCACTCCCACCGCCTCCACCACCGCTCCCTCCACCGCCACCTCCACCACCCTTGCCACCCTTGCCGCCCCTGGTGCCGCTGCGCTTCCCACCTGGAGCGGAAGCAGCTGCGACCTTCTCAGCACCGAGGAGGTCGACGGCAGCAGCAGCAGAGGCGTAGGAGGGGGCAAGAGGGGAGGGGGAGCATCCCTCAAAGAGGGGAGTGCGAGGAGTGCCACGAGCAGCACCTATAGCGAGTATGTTCTTTTCTGCTGCTAGGAGCTGCTGCTCGAAGTCGGCTAGAGTGAGAGTGGTAGGGTCTTTGGCGAGGAAGTGGTCTCTGACGAAACTGAGAGTGTCAGGGAGGCGGGTGACGAGGATGTAGAGGGTAAAGTACAGCGGGGGGGGGGGGGGGGGGGGTTTGGCGAGGAAGTCGTCTGTAAGGGCGGCACGAAAGCGAGCGTCACTAGCGCGGAGGTGAGAGATAAGGTCCTCAGCGGTGGCAAACGAGGACAGGTCTGGGAACAGGTAGGGCAGGATGAGACGACCTACGGCTGCAGTGGCTGGGGACGAATAGCGCGCAACTACAGCGTCATACAGTGCCTTAGCAGTCTTGTGCTGGCTAAAATGCGCGCGCTCAGTGATCGGCAGGTGGTTGCGAATAGCGAGGCGCGCAGCAGCATCGCGAGTCTGCCACTGTGAGCGGTCAAGAGCAGGAGCAGTGTCAGCAGGAGCAACGGCAGTGCCAGACGCGTGATCGAACAGTGAAACGCCGTCTTTTGCATCAGTCATAAGAAACAGTTGCAGGTCGTCGAGCCAAGTGGCAAACTCAATCGGGCGACCGTCAGGCTCAAACGCGAGAACATTAAGCGTCGCCATGATTGCAGCGCAGGCGAAGGCAGCAGGCAAAGGCAGCAGGCACAGGCAGCAGGCAAAGGCAGCAGGCACAGGCAGCAGGCAAAGGCAGCAGGCAGCTAAGCACCGCAAGCAGCACGCGGGTGGGGCAGGCGGCCGTGGCAGCAGGGCTGCCTCGCGCGGGGTTGCAGGGCAGCGCGGGTGGCGATGCGAGGGGCCGCGGGGCAGTGCGACGGGCAGCAGCAGGGCGCGCGCGGGGCTGCAGGGCAGCGCGACGGGCTGGCAAGGCGTGCGCGGGGCTGCGGGGCAGCGCGACGGGCTGGCAAGGCGCGCGCGGGGCTGCGGGGCAGCGTAACGGGCGGCGCGCGGGGCTGGAGGGCAGCGCGACACGCAGCGGACGGGCACGCGCGGGGTGGCAGGGCAGCGCGACGGGCGGCGCGCGGGGCTGCGGGGCAGCGCGACGGGCAGCAAGGCGCGCGCGGGGCTTTGGGCGAGCGGCGCGCTTGCCAGCTAGGGCGACGCGGCTCAGGGCAAGGCAGTGTAGGGCAGGCCAGGCAGGGCGAGGGGTATCACGGTAACCGCGAGCGGTTGGTGGTGGGCCCTAAAAAAAATCGATCCTGGGGTCGTAGGGACCTCTTGCTCTGAATACCATCTCAGAAACAACTAGTAGGAATGGGAATGACTAGGAATAGTTGGGTACAAATATGAAACCCTAAAGGGGCTATACCCCATATTGGCTACCCCACTACAGCCTACACAGTTATAATGCATATATACTTTGACATACCGCAATGTTATTGGTCGATGAAATCGTTTTTTTCCGGGTCGCTAGGGTGTTACCGGTATCGTAATGACATCGTGATCATGGTTACAACCTCACACATTTGATAACTTTCGTAAGCCTGAAAATGTTTCACAAACAACGTCGGACGAGGCTTAGGGCTCGTTCGTAGTTTTGACACCAGTGTCATTTTGCCATTTTGACACGAGCATACATTGTTGGCAGGGTGTCAAAATTTCGTAGATTGCTAGCCAGTACAACTAGTCGGATACATTTTAACTCTGACAGGGTCAACGCCTACAAGCCAGTAAGGATCGTCGCAGCTGCAATCTCATCACCCCTATCACCCAATCAAGTCGCACCGTCTCTTACTTGAGATCTCACAGCTAGTTGAGAATGTCGCTGGCTTGGACATGCACCAATCATTGAATACACGAGTAGGTCCCAACTAATCAGAATGCGTTGTTGATGATCCTACGCGCACTTCGAGCTGACACTGATGCTACAGTGATTGACACGCAAAATCACTAGCGCTTCGGGGTGACACGCATAAACAGCTGGTGTCAAGCTGGTGTCCTGACGCTGGACTCGGACTGCCTGATGTTCGGAATCTGAACCGCTCTCGGACGGCTGTCCGGATTTTTACAGCTTTTAGAAAATGTAACACGCCCTCAGCTCGTTTGTGAAACCCACACGCTCATAACAGCCTTTTCGTTATGTGCGTGAACGTAGTACCCTTGCACCCCACAACGAACGAAGCTGGAGCTGACGACGTGGGAGAGGGGAGCGAGCGTGCGACACAGCCACGGCGATAGCGAGAGTAAGGCTTGAGTGGGCCGTAAGGGTTGAGGAGGAGGCGGGCGCTGGATGGATTTGGCGGGGTTCGGGTTGGAGCGAGTGGCGAGCCTGGAGGGCGGCAGCGACGCCGACGACTGGGAGGAGCCCGCCCGCCACGCCGCCAACGGCGCCGCGGAGGCGTCCGGCAACGACTCCGCAGAAGCCGCGTCTCCGGCCGGCACGGACCGCCGCGATTCCCCCAGTCGCGATGACTCGCAGTCGCAATCGCCGTCGCGGTCGTCGCGATCGTCGTCGTCACAGTCGTCTGGGTCGTCAGCATCGTCGCGGTCATCGCACAGCGACGGGGAGAGTGAAGATGGAGGCGGTGGGGACGAGAGGAAGGAAGGCAATGGGGAGAGAGAGGAGGAAAAGGAAGGCGGGTATGACGGGGAAGGGCTGGCAGAGGATGTGAAGGGCAGCGGTGGCGACGAGTCGACGGGACCAGACCCGCGGGGCGATGCGCGCGAGGGCGGCGAGCAGGGGGGGATGGCGTTTGGGGGGACAGGGCTTGGCGTGAACCTGGACTTTGACGAGGACGACGGGAGTGACTATAACGAGTCAAGCGACGGCGAGGGAGGGGGGACGGGGAGTGACAGAAGTGGCGAGGAGTGGCGAGGAAGCGAGGGGGGTGAGAGGGGCGAGCGTTGGGAGCAGGAGCATGCGAGTGGCATGAAGCGCAAGGAGCGAGGCGCTGGCGAGGCAGCAGAGGGCGATGAGCGGCCGGCGAAGCGGATGGAGGCGGGCGGGGCAGGTGAGGGCGGGGGAGGCGAGGCGGAGGGGCTGCTGGTGCGCGTGGTGGCGGACCACTACAGCCGGCGCGACAACCAGCAGCGGCACGAGCGCGAGGCGAGTCCCATCATCCACCTGAAGAAGCTCAACAACTGGATCAAGTCCGTGCTCATCCGCCTCCACACCCACCCCGCCCGCGGTGCACGCGTGCTGGACCTGGCGTGCGGCAAGGGCGGCGACCTCACCAAGTGGGCGCGCGTCAACGTGGGCTTCTACCTCGGAGTGGACGTGGCTGAGGGCTCCGTGCACAACGCCATGGCGCGCTACAACGGCGACTCGCACCGCTCCTTCGCCGGGGGAGGTGGGGCGAGGGACGAGGGGGACGGCGACCGGCGGCAGATGCGGTTCCCGGCGAAGCTGGCGTGTGCGGACTGCTTTGGTGTGCCTTTGGACCGCGAGTTGCTGCCGTGGGCGCCGTTTGACATCTGCTCCACGCAGTTCGCTCTGCACTACTCCTTTGAGACAGAGCAGCGCGCTCGCTGCGGGCTGCGCAACATCGCAGCGCTGCTGCGGCCGGGCGGCAAGTTCATCGGCACCATCCCCGACGCCAACGTGCTCGTGCACAAGCTGCGGGCCTCGCCGAACCTCAGGTTCGGCAACTCCGTCTACTCGATAGAATTCGCCGCGGAATTCGCGGACAAGAAGTTCCCTTGTTCCCGCCCATACGGCATCCGGTATGAGTTCCGGCTGGAGGACGCCGTGGACTGCCCCGAGTGGCTCGTGCCCTTCGCCTTCCTGCAGCGCCTTGCTGCGGAGTACGGGCTGCAGGTGCTGTACCACGCCAACTTCCACCAGTTCATCAAGACGCACGTCGCCGTCGAGCCGCACGCGTCGCTGCTGCGCCGCATCGTGGGCGAGCGGTGGCGCGAGGAGATGACCGCGGATGAGTGGGACGCCGCGTACCTCTACTGTGTGTTTGTCTTCCGCAAGGAGGGCACCGCTGGGGCTGAGGGGGGTGGCGTTGCAGGGGAGAGGAGGGAGGAGGTGATTAGGAGAATGGAAAGTGATGATATTCTGATTCTCTAATGCCTTACTGGTACACGTTGCCACGGCGCAGCGATGCGAGGCAAGGAAAAGCATATTTGTTCCACAATGTCAAGTTTTTATGACATGAGATTAGGTGTACTGTTGTCCGAAATATCACATAAAGAAATGTGAGAGCTGGGGGAAACTTCGAGAATTCGGGTTGTCCAATGTCGGGAACTTCTGTCATCCAAATTCATTCGATACATGCGCTGCATCATCCCGTCTAGTTCCGCCATCGCCGTTCCCTCAGAAACAGGGTGTCCCCGTCGCGCACGCCACACGCGCCGTCATGGACGCTTTTCCCCCCCATCCTCGCCACCGCCCTCGCGCGCTCTCTCTTCTTGTTGCCGCTCCGCTGCTCCTCCTCGTCCCCGCGCTCGCGTGCCTTAGCCCTCCTCCCCCACTCGCCTCACTCCTTTCCTCCCTGTCCCTCGCCCTCCGCCCTCTCTCCGCTTGCTTCTCCTCGCCCCTTCCTCCACCCCCGCCGCTGCTTCCCATCCCCACGGCGCGCCAGCTGACCCGTCAGCGTGCCGAGCTGGCGGCGTTCTTCCACGTGGGCATGAACACGTTCACGGACCGCGAGTGGGGCACGGGGCGCGAGGACCCGCGGCTGTTCGACCCGGCGGCGCTCAACGCGACTCATTGGGTCGACACCGTCAAGGCCGCCGGCTTCCAGGTGCGCGCAATATGAGCGCCAGGCCTTCAGGTGCGCCTCGCGCTCTCATGATCGAGCGCGCCGGGAGAGACCGTCCTCCCCCTGCGTCTCTCGGAGCTGATTGCGTTCTCGCGTTGGGGGCGGCCGTGCGCCGTATGTGATGGCGCGAGGGGGGAGCGTGTGAGGGGGGAGCATGCGAGGGGAGAGCATGCGCGGTAGGGGGTGGTGTTTGCGAGCCGCTGTCTCTGGTGAGCTGTGGGCGGAGGGCACGCGACAAGGGAGGCGGGCGTGGTGAGGACGCGCTGTCGAGCCCGCGCCCCACGCTTGCAGGCGCGCTGCCATTGTTGGTGCCTGGCAGGTGGTTCAAACAACCAGCTGCCCCACGCCTTGTGCCTCGTGCTGCATAGCTCATGTTAGCAGATCCCACACATACTCACAACCCCCACACCTCTTGTGACACCAGCCAAGCTTCACAAGCCCCCCCCCCGCGCCTTCATCGTTTCTGCGCTGCTCATCAACCATCTCACCCTTCATGCTCCTCAACCATCTCACCCTTCATGCTCCTCAACCATCTCACCCTTCATGCTCCTCTCACCCCTCTCGCCCCTCGCCCCTCACCCCATCCCCCCAGCTGGTGGTGCTGACAGCCAAGCACCATGACGGCTTCTGCCTGTGGCCCTCGGCGCTCACCAACCACTCCGTGCGCCGCTCGCCCTGGAAGGCCGGCCGGGGGGACGTCGTCGCTGACGTCGCTGCAGCGGCACGGGCGGCGGGCGTGGGGCTGGGGTTGTATCTGTCGCCGTGGGACCGCAACGCGCGGGCGTATGAGGAGGGCAGTGAGGCGTACAACGCCTTGTACGAGGGGCAGCTGAGGGAGTTGCTCACCCGGTCAGTGCATGGGGGGGGGGGATGGGGCGTGCTGACGTGGCGGGTGTGGGGTGGAAGCTGGGGATGGGGAGCAGGGCAGCATGATGGATGGCAGTGGGGCTGGGCTGGGCGTATGAGCGCTGGGCAGAGGGTTGTGAGCAGTTGGGCGGTGGTGAGGGGATGGAAGGAGAGGGCATGATTTCAGTGCAATGCAATCATGTGCTCTTCTCACACCTGCACTTCTTTGCTGCCGCCCCTAACAAACTCCTCGCCCTTTACCCCCTTCAACCTCTCAGTCTACTCCTTGTACCACCCTCCCCTGCACCGTACCTTCCCTCCTTGTGTTTCTCTCCGTTGCTGCCTGTCACCCTCCCCGCTCTTCTCTTCCCTCACTTGCTCCCTCTCTCTCTTTTTCTTTCTACAACGTGCAATGTACAGTTCTCGTCTCTCATTGTCCCCATCATCTCTCCGTCTTCCCGCATCCCCCCTCTTCCCCACCACCAGCGCCGCTCCACTCACGCCCGTGGTGCAGGTGCGGTGCAGTGCGCGCATGGGAGGAGCAGGTCGACCCCAAGCCATGCCCAAGCCAAGCCTGGCTCCGCCCACCTGCGCCACCCTCCCCTGCCCCTCCCGCCTCGCCCTGCCTTGCCCGGCCTTGCCTTGCCTTGCAGCTACGGCCCCGTGGCGGAGGTGTGGCTGGACGGCGCCAAGGGGGACCGCCGCCCCATGACCTACCACACTGCCACGTGGCAGGCTCTCATTCGCCAGCTGCAGCCGGCAGCGGCGGTGTTTTCAGCGCAGGGCCCCGACATGCGGTGGGCGGGCAATGAGCGCGGCGAGGCGGGCGAGCCGTGCTGGGCCATGGTGAACGGCAGCCAGCTCACGCTGGACGGCACCGACACCCAGTAAGGGGGCTGCGTCAGGGTGGCGAGTGAGGGGCGAGTGGGGGGCGAGTGAGGGGCGAGTGGAGTGCGAGTGGGGGAGCGAGTGGGGAGCGAATGGGGGGCGAGTGGGGGACCGAGTGGGGGACAAGTAAGGGGTGAGTGGGGGCCGTTGCATGGTGAAGCATCATTGCCCTATTTCGTGCTTCCTCCTCACCCACCCATCCTTGCCCTCTTGTGCACCACCGTGGTTGTGCATGCATGCGCTGTACCGTACATGCATGCGCTGTACCGTACATGCATGCGCTGTACCGTACATGCATGCGCTGTACCGTACATGCATGCGCTGTACCGTACATGCATGCGCTGTACCATACATGCATGCGCTGTACCGTGCATGCATGCGCTGTACCGTACATGCATGCGCTGTACCGTACATGCATGCGCTGTACTGTGCATGCATGCGCTGTACCGTACATGCATGCGCTGTACCGTACATGCATGCGCTGTACCGTGCATGCATGCGCTGTACCGTGCATGCATGCGCTGTACCGTACATGCATGCGCTGTACCGTACATGCATGCGCTGTACCGTACATGCATGCGCTGTACCGTACATGCATGCGCTGTACCGTACATGCATGCGCTGTACCGTACATGCATGCGCTGTACCGTGCATGCATGCGCTGTACCGTACATGCATGCGCTGTACCGTACATGCCCCCACACCCCTGCTCCCGTCCCTCCTTCCCCACCCATGCCTTCCCCACCCATGCCTTCCCCACCCATGCCTTCCCCACCCATGCCTTCCCCACCCATGCCTTCCCCACCCATGCCTTCCCCACCCATGCCTTCCCCACCCATGCCTTCCCCACCCATGCCTTCCCCACCCATGCCTTCCCCACCCATGCCTTCCCCACCCATGCCTTCCCCACCCATGCCTTCCCCACCCATGCCTTCCCCACCCATGCCTTCCCCACCCATGCCTTCCCCACCCATGCCTTCCTCACCCATGCCTTCCCCACCCATGCCTTCCCCACCCATGCCTTCCCCACCCATGCCTTCCCCACCCATGCCTTCCCCACCCATGCCTTCCCCACCCATGCCTTCCCCACCCATGCCTTCCCCACCCATGCCTTCCCCACCCATGCCTTCCCCACCCATGCCTTCCCCACCCATGCCTTCCCCACCCATGCCTTCCCCACCCATGCCTTCCTCACCCATGCCTTCCCCACCCATGCCTTCCCCACCCATGCCTTCCCCACCCATGCCTTCCCCACCCATGCCTTCCCCACCCATGCCTTCCCCACCCATGCCTTCCCCACCCATGCCTTCCCCACCCATGCCTTCCCCACCCATGCCTTCCCCACCCATGCCTTCCCCACCCATGCCTTCACCACCCATGCCTTCCCCACCCATGCCTTCCCCACCCATGCCTTCCCCACCCATGCCTTCCCCACCCATGCCTTCCCCACCCATGCCTTCCCCACCCATGCCTTCCCCACCCATGCCTTCCCCACCCATCTGCCCTGCCTGCAGGTACCTGAACCACGGTGACGTGGCGGGCACGGATTGGATGCCAGCGGAGTGCGACGTGTCCATCCGCCCGGGGTGGTTCTGGCACCCCTCAGAGCGCCCCAAGCCGCTCGCCCGCCTGCTGGACGTCTACCTGGCCTCCGTGGGGCGCGGCTGCTCGCTGCTGCTCAACGTGCCACCCAACACCACCGGCCTGCTGCATGGGGAGGACGTGCAGCGTGTGAGGCAGTTTGGCCGCGCGCTTCAAGTGCTGTTCCAGGAGGAGGTCAGCGCAGGTGCTCGTGTGCACGCCAGCAGCGTGTATGGGTGCGAGGGGGGGCGGAGGCGGAAGGAAGAGGAGGAGATGGATTTACGAAGGAAATGGTTTGGGATGGGGTTATGGGGATGGTGGGGGGGGTGGGGGCGAGAGAGAGGGCGGTGTGAATACGGGCCTGAGAATGTGCTGAGTGCTGGGGATGCGACCTTTTGGGCGGCTAAGGATGGGGTGCTGTCTGCTACTCTTGAGTTCGACCTCGGGCAGGTGAAAACTTTTCATGTGGTTCGGTTGGAGGAGCCTGTGGCGTACGGGCAGAGAATAAAGTTGTTTACAGTGGAGGTGCTCCACCCAGACCCTGCTGCTGCAGCAGCCGCTACTCCAGCTGCCCCTGCGGCCCAAGTTGGTGCTGGCAGTGCTGGCGAGTGTGGGCCAGGTGGGTGCGATGCCGGCGATAGTGTGCTGCCCTCCATGTCTGGTCTGCCAGGCCTGGGAGAGCACGCGCTGGGCACACTGCATGGCCCCCAAGGGGCAGCGCGCAGCATGCTGGAGGGGACGGGGAGGATGGGGAGAGCGGACGAGTGGAGAGTGATAGCGAGTGGCAGCACAGTGGGGCGCAAGAGGCTGTTTCGGTTGGAAGCAGTGAGAGCGCGGCATGTGAGGCTCGTCATTCACGACGCCAGGGCTGCCCCGCTGCTCTCCTTCTTTGCACTCTACAGGACTGGCCATCTCACCACACTATGATCTCATTCGCCCCGCCACTTCGCACTGCAATGCACCATCTCGCTGCTGCTGGCGCTGCATCTTCCTGTCCCATCCAACGTCGCCCCGCTTTTTCTTGCAGTCCTTTGTGCTGTGTGATGGATGGAAAGGAGAATAGAAGCAGATGCTAGCAGGGCCTCAGATTTCAGCGAAATAAGGCTGATTTAGAGCGTATTCCTATCCTAGTATCAAGAGAACTTCATACCAAGCTCCCACTGGAAATTCCCCTAAACCCAAAACCTCTCGCTAGTTTTACCAGGCAAAAAGTACATTCTTGATATGAGGTTCTCTTGATACGAGGATAGGAATACCCCCTTAGGGTCGGAAGCAGGCCCTCAGAAGTCAGCGAAAAAAGGCTGATTAGGGGTAAAAAGCCTGTGATTTCCGCCGTTTAGGGAAACATGGGGCTGTTGTGGCAGCTTTTTTTTTTAGTGTGTATGCTGTAATGTCAGTTTTTTTTTAACTAGTTGTTCTGAAATATCAGCTTTTTTCCTGTCGTGTGCGCTGTCTCCTCAGACTTGTATCGAAGTGTCAAATGTTATAGCCCTTAGTGGGTCATACTATATGGGGTACAAACAATTAGGGTTAGGTACTTGTACCCCAACTCAATCAATGCAAGCCATTCCGCTGTTCTCAGTTACTAAGATGGTATCAGCAGTAGGTTCGTTGTTCCTAGGCCTTAGTCACCTCCGTTCCTAGTCCTATGCCGTCCCTAGCCAGCGCCCTCGCCCACGACCTAGCTACCGCCCTGGACAACGCCCTAGCCAGCGCTCTAGGCTCTCCCCCCCCCTCCCCAGCAGGCCCGCCAGCGCCTTAGCCAGCTGGCCCGCTAGCGCCTTAGCCAGCAGGCCCGCCAGCGCGCCACGCCAGCACGCACGCCAGCGCGCCACGCCAGCGCGCATGCCAATGCGCACGCCAATGCACCACGCCAGCGCGCACGCCAGCGCGCCACGCCAGCGCGCCACGCCAGCGCGCACGCCAGCGCGCCACGCCAGCGCGCACGCCAGCGCGCCACGCTAGCGCACACGCCAGCGCGCTACGCCAGCGCGCCACGCCAGCGCGCACGCCAGCGCGCCACGCCAGCGCGCACGCCAGCGCGCACGCCAGCGCGCCACGCCAGCGCGCACGCCAGCGCGCACGCCAGCGCGCCACGCCAGCGCGCCACGCCAGCGCGCCACGCCAGCGCGCACGCCAGCGCGCACGCCAGCGCGCCACGCCAGCGCACCGCCTGCGCGCCGCGTCGCCCGCCGGCCAGCGCGCCGCGCCGCCCACCGGCCAGCGCGCTGTGCTGCCCCCCTGTGCGCCTCTTACACTGCCTCCTCGCCTCCTTGCCTGCGTGCCTGCCCACGTGCCACTGACTGTCTCACCCTCCTGCGGCTGGTAGCCGCGCTCTCTCGTTTTTCGCCCCTTATGGCGACCACTCGAGTACTTCGATTTGACCCTGAGGGGAGACCGATTGATTTTAGTACGTGGCTTACCCAGGCCCAGCGCCACCTTAAGAGCCAGCGGCAGGATGGCGTGCACCTATTGGCACACGCATCCGGTACTCAGACCGCCCCTCCTCAGCCTAGGCCGCTGCCCACCACCCCGTCGCCTACTCCTGAGCAGGAGGCCGAGTACCAGCGCCAGTTTCTTGCTCGCGACGTGTGGGAGTCTCGTGACGCCGCTGCCTGCCTCGCCCTGACCGACCTTCTCCCACCGACCGAGGCAGTCCACTTCACTCAGGTCGAGTCCGCTGCAGATCTGTATAAGGCTATTGTTGCTCGCTACTCCACTCCCTCCTCTGCCTCACTCAGTCGCCTCCTCGTCCCCTTTATCTACCCTGACCTCGCCTCCTTTGAGACTGTCTCTGACCTCACTGCCCACCTGCGCTCCCTTGACACTCGCTTTCGTGCTGCTTGCACTGAGGACCAGCTTGCCCTTGCCCCGCCCCCTATGTGGCTCACCATTCACTGGCTAGTCACTCGCCTCCCTGACCGCCTAGCCACAGCCCGCGACGCGCTTCTTCTGAAGCATCCCACTGAGCTTACCATCGATCTTCTTGAGACCGCTCTCTCGAAGATCGAGAGTAACCTCCTCGCAGTTGCCTCTGCCTCCTCAGCACCTCCTCCTCGTCTTTTTGAGGGGTGTGCGGTACCACAGCTTCCCACCTTCACTGCCTCCCTTGCCATCCCCGCGTCTTCTGCCTCTGAGGAGACGGCGGCTGTTTCTGTCTCTGGCGGACAGAAACGTGGCAAGGCTAGCAAGAAGGGAGGGAAGGGCGGGGGTACTGGGGGTGGTGTGGGTAGTGGTGGCGGCGGTGGGGTGGGTGGTGGGAGTGGTAGTGGGGGTGGCTCGGGCCCTGACGGTCCTCCTCTCGACGGTGGAGTTATCACTGGTGGTGGGGGGTTCCAGCAGCAGCAGCAGCCGACTTCTCAGCAGCTGCCACAGCTTGGACAGCAGCAGCAGCAGCAGGGACCGCAGCAGCAGCGACAGGGCCAGCAGCAGCGCCCACCGCAGCAGCAGCCTCAGCAGTGGGGGCCTCCGCAGCAGTGGGGCCCTCAGCAGCAGTGGAGGTCTGTGGGTCCCCCGAGCACTGGGCGCAGTGCCCCCCCCTCCAGTCGGGGACCTCGCTCGGCCGGCCGCGACGTTGGTCCCTGTGAGTACTGGATCCTTACGGGTCCTCGACGGGACTCGTACTGTGGCCGCCCCGACCACTCTGCTGCACGCTGCTTCAGTCGTCTCGACGACCTCTACCGTTTCCACCACGGCCCCTCTGCTCCCCCGCCGCCACGCTGGGGGACGCTTCTTGCTCGTGGCATTGCTGTTTTTGATATGACTATGGATGATGCTAGGTCTTATGCCATGTATGCTGATGTTGACTATAGTGCTCCTGGATCTGTGTACTTGCCTGTTGCTAGAGTAGGTGCCAGTGTAGGATCTTGTTTAGCTACTAGTACAGGTACTCCCTCGGCGGACGCGTCTCTCTCCTTCACACTGGACTCAGGAGCGTCGCACTGCTTCTTCCGCGACTGCACGACTCTCTCTCCGCTACCGGCACCTGTCCCTGTAGCACTGGCCGATCCCTCCTCGGGACCGGTCATTGCGACTCACGCCACTACACTCCCGTGCCCAGCTGCTCCTTCTGGTTCCCTGACCGGCCTCCACGTTCCTACGTTCTCTAGGAACCTGGTTGGTGTGGGCACCCTGGCGAGACAGCACGTCGGGGTCTGGGTTGAGCCTTCTGGTGACACCGCAGTCTGCGTCGACGGTGACACGTACGCCCCCTTGGCCACTTTCCGCCAGGAGCCGGGCTCTGGTCTGTACACCCTCCGCACCGACCCCCGTCAGGTTCCCCCGTCCCACCAGGTAGCCGGGTCCAGTCAGGTTGCTGTGTCAGGTGTAGTTGCTGCGTCGTGCTCGTGTCGGTCGCTTGCCCACCCCACCGTTCTGTGGCACCACCGGATGGGGCACCCGTCCCTTCCTCGTCTGCGCGCCATGTCCAGTCAGCGTCTTGTCTTAGGCCTCCCCCGAGTCCTCCCACCACTCCCGCCGTCCCCAGCTCCTCCGTGTGGTCCTTGTGTCCAGGGTCGGCTTCGCGCCACCCCCCACTCCTCCTCCCTTCGTCCGGCCACCGAGCCCTTCCAGACACTCCACTTAGACGTCTGGGGCCCCGCCTCCCGCCTTGGCCCTGAGCGGGAGAGTTTCTTTCTGGTGGTCGTTGACGATTTCTCTCGGTACACCACCGTGTTCCCCTTGGCGAAGAAGTCCGACGTGACTTCTACGCTGATCCGGTGGCTCCTCGCCACCGAGGGCACTCGTGGTCGTCGTGTCAGTTGTCTCCACTCCGACCGTGGGGGTGAGTTTCGCTCCGGCATTCTCGCCAGTTTCTGTGCTGAGCAGGGCATCACCCAGTCCTGGACTCTCCCAGACTCTCCACAGCAGAATGGGGTTGCTGAGCGCCGCTTAGGCCTGGTCATGGAGATCGCCCGCACCTCCATGATCCACGCCCGCGCGCCCCATTTTCTGTGGCCCTACGCGGCTCGGTACGCCGCTCACCAGCTGAACCTCTGGCCTCGCGTCTCTCGGCCAGGGGCTTCACCGACCAGTCTTTGGACAGGGTCCCCTGGTGTTGCGTCGAGGTTTAGTGTCTGGGGCTGCTTGGCTCTTGTCCGCGACACCTCTGCGGACAAGATCTCGCCTCGCGCCGTCCCCTGTGTCTTCCTTGGTTTCCCAGAGGGCTCCTCTGACTTCACCTTTTACCACCCACCCTCCCACCGGTTCTTTGACTCTCGTGACGTCCGTTTCGACGAGTCCGTCCCCTACTACGTCAGGTACCCCTCTCGAGGTCTCCCGGTTCCCCCCCCCCCCCTTCCTGGCTCCACCTCCTCCTCCTCCCTCCCCTGCTCCTCCGGTACCCCCCCCTGGTCTTGCTCCGTCTGGTGTGTCCCACGCTACTCCCCCCCCCTCGGTACCCCCCCAGGTCTCTCCTCCTTCCCCACAGTCGTCCTCACAGCCTCCGCAGCAGCCGTCAGCGCTTCCTTTACCGGCCACTGCGGACTCTGAGGGTGTTGGTGCTCGGGGTGAGGGCTCTGGCGGTGCTCGCTCTGGGGGTGCTGGCGTTGGAGCTGTTCGTGCACCTACAGGAGCCGCCTGTTCTCGGGGTGTTGGCGTTGGCGCTGAGCGTGCACCTGCCGCGGCTGCCCGTTCCGAGGGTGCTGGAGCTGGTGGTGGTGCTGGAGCTGGTGGTGTTTCTGGAGCTGGAGAGTCTGAGGCTGGTGCTGGTGCCACTGGAGGCACCCCGACTGGGGGTGCGGGTCCACCTCCTACAGGTGCTAGTCGTGCTGCCGCAGGGGGTACACGCTCTGGGGGTTCTCAGCCGGGTGCTGTCGAGGGCGGAGCCGGTTCTTCTTCTTCGTCTCCTGACACCACTCCTCCTCCTCACCCCTACCTGACTCGACACCAGACCCGTCTTCGTCTTGAGCGTGAGGAGCAGCAGCGTT